CACAAAAAAATTTTCGTTACTACTTACTAACTGTAATTTTGCTACTGTTATGAATCATAATGTAAATATCTGTTTTCCAAAGGTCTCAGGCAACTCTTATGAAAGGGTTGTTCAACCTCCCCCCATGGGGTTGCAACTGTTGGCATAGTCATCCAAGGATCCCAGGAGGAGAGGACAAGAAGACCACACCTCTGTGCACAATGTCCCTGCCTGCAACTTCGTACCCACAGCTCAGCTGGCCACATCATACATCTACACAGCAACAGCCTTCCAAAGTGCTCCAGGCCCTTAGGAGAAACGATCCCAAGGGCTCCCCTCTAGGATCTAACTCTGCTCAGACCTTCCACTGTAATGAACACACCGTCATATCCCATGACATCCTGCTGCACCCCAAGCTACCAGTTACCTCTGACCTTAACTGACAAAGCAGCCTCATCAAGTTGTTCCTTGCCCTAGGAAAGCTTTTCTTTCTAATGTGCCCACACCCTATCCCTCAACAAGAGGTGGGAAGTGTCTTCTTTTTTTAACAGAGAATCACTATGTTACCCAAGCAGGACTCAAATTCGTGGTCCAAGTAATCCTCTTGCCTCAGCAGACTGAGCAGGTAGACAAGTGCACTGCAGGCCCAGCTTTGTGAGTACTCCAACTTCTTTCTGTTCTCTGTGCATAGAACTCCAGAGATCTCTTGGGACATGGCAGGGTGCCTTTGTCAGCACTCTTGTCATCTCCTGGACACCAGGATGCACTTAAAGAGCTCAGCCCTGTCCTAACTCTGCCCACTAAATCACAACCAGCTAGGCCATCAGGTGAAACGCAGCTCTCTGTCCCTCAGAATTCTCTAAGAACCTGCTAGATGCCAGCCCAGGCAGCACAGAGTGCTGGCGAGTCAGATCCCACTCTGCTCTCAGAGCCCCAATTCTAGCCAATGATAAGTGACACAATACAAGGGGCATCAGGAAATGGGAAAGTATGAGGGGTAAGGGTTAGGGTCACGCCATAGAGAGGTAGGTTGGGAGGACTCACTAACGAAGTGACATTTGAACTGGGACAAGCAACAAGGAGTCGGATATACCACAGAAGCAGTAGCAGGTGCAAAGACCTTGGGGGAAGCAACTGCTGACCTACTTAAGCAGTAGAAAAGACAGCAGCATGACTGAAGGCCAGAAACAGAAGAAAGTAGTCACTGAGGAGGCTCCAAGGAAGGCAGGGCCTGGATACTAAGCCTGGAACAAGGAGGCTGAATTAGTCCAAATACAATAATATACTGGAGAGTCAGGTATGGTGGTGTATACCTATAATCCCAGCACTGGGAGGCAGCCAGGTGGATCTCTGTGAGTTCTAGGCTAGCCTAGTCTACTTAGTGATTTCCAGAACAGTTAGGGCTAGAAAGACCCTGTGCCAATAACCAAACCAAACAAAAAAAGACTGAGAAGCTAGAAGCAAGAGCTGATATGACCTGATAAGTCCCTGAAAATAGGGACAGTGGATAAACTCCAACCACTGTTCGGGCAGCAGTGTCCAAATGGTGGGATTCCAAAGGCATTGCCAGGATCTGGCCTGTAGTTGGTTCAGGAAGGCAAGGGCATACTGACAGATGGACCCTAAGAACAGCTGAGAGATGGCTTCTAGCAGCAGCCCTGTACACTTTACCTGGCAGGCTTGCTTCCTCAACTAAAAACCAATGTAATGCCTCTAGTCCACAGGATACTGACCAGCTACAAGGTCCTCCTGGCCACAGGGTTAAGGCAGAACAGGCACTCCAAACAGGGGCATGCTTCCCTTCAAAAGGAAAACTTCCATCTTCCAGGTTCCCAAAAAGAAAGGTAGGGATCTAATCTCCCTAAGGAATAGTGGTCTCACCCCTCCAGTGAGGTCAGGCCACATTTTAACACCAGAAAGAAGTTTTCTCAAGATATGAAGCAAGAAGACCAATAACAAGACAGACAATGGTGGCACACACTTTTAATAGCATCACTTGGGAGATGGAGGCAGGCGAACTCTGTGAATTCAAGGTTACAAAGCTAATCCCAGGGCAGTCAGGTTATACAAAGAAACTGATGTGGGAGTCCCCTCTGTATGCTGTGAATACCATTGGTTAATGAATAAAGCTGCTTTGGGCCTATTGCAGCACAGAATAGGGCAAGGCAGGAACTCCAAACAGAAAGAGGAGAGAGCAAGTAGAGTCAGGGAGAAGCCATGTAGGTAGCCGCCAGAGGAGAAAGATGCGAGCCACAAGTGGGAACCTTGCCAATAAGCCATGACCCTCATGCTAAAGTATAAAATAATAGAAATGAGTTAATTTAAGATGTAAGAGCTAGCTAGAAATATGCTTACGCTATTAGCCAAACAATATTGCAATCAATATAATTTCTACGTAATTATTTCGAGTCTGGGCAGCCAGGAAACAAATAAGCAGTCTCCACCTACGAGAAACCCTGTCTCAAAAACAAAAAAAACAAAACAAAACAAAAAGGACAAACAACAACAACCAAGAAGAGAACAAATCCCCTTGTATGATTATATAGTCTCAATCAGAACACCAAGCACTCGGGCAGTAGCCATTTGATCCTATATACTGGGCTCATACTGAAACTGTTTTGTCACACAAAGAAGTTCTGTGTGAATGTACATATTGGAAGAGGTGAGCAGGGATTCAGAAAACTGGTGTCAAGGAAAGCCCCAGCTTGGGAAACAGGCAGGCCTTGACAGTCCAGCTTACTACTATCTGCATTCCTAAGTCCCAACTTCATGAGTGATTTCATGATAAACATGCTTTCTGCAAAGTTTGTCCAAGAAGCATAAGTATTTGAAAAGAGCCATGTCAGAAAATAACTGCATGGTTAGTATTATCCAGTAGTGACGGAAGATCCAGAACTAGGTTCAAAGGCCACACAGCTAGGAAGGAAAAAAGCGGCAAACCCAGTTCTGTACACCTCCAAAAGAATGCCTGTCCCTTTGCCTGGCCTATATTTCAGATGTTTCTCCCCTTACAACCGGGCTCCATCCAATACAGTTACAGTATGTTGAAAACATAGTCTAAGTTAAGAAACACACTGAACACACAGAAGGTCTGGGCCTGCCAGCATAGCAGTCAGTATCTGGTAAACAGTGATTTGCCCTCTGGACCTTAGGCTGACTAGGAGCTGGAGTTTGCTGCTTTGCTCGGTGTCCTGACAACCAAGTCAGAAACCAGGAAAGGTCAAAATTTTACTGAACTTGTACCATTTGCACACCATCATAAGGATGAAAAATCATGAAGTTATTACAAGGCAGATTCTGTATTTACCAGAAAAGACTTAATTGTTCTTTCCTTTTTTGTTGGTAACACTGAGGATAGGACCAAGAGATTCCTCCACACTAGGCAGATACTCCACCACTGCGACACATGCCAACCCACCTTCTCGTCTTTACCCTGTGTGCTCCACCTCCAATTTACACTAGTTTGGAGGACATTTTCTTTTCTTAAAAAAAATATTTATTTATTATGTATACAGTATTCTATCTGTGTGTATGCCTGCAGGCCAGAAAAGGGTACCAGACCTCATTACAGTTGGTTGCAAGCCACCATGTGGTTGCTGGGAATTGAACCTTTGGAATCAGGACCTTTGGAAGAGCAGGCAATGCTCTTAATCTCTGAGCCATCTCTCCAGCCCCTGGAGGACATTTTCTAAAACGTTTTCGAATATGACCAGTCAGAATAGAGCTGGAGATATTAGTTTTGTTGTTTCTTTACTGTGTGGTCTTTAATGAGTGGATTTTGGGTTGAACAGACAGTGCAAGAGAATGACTCTGGACAGGTAAGCCTCCTTTTCCACTTGAGGGAAACAGGAAAATGGTCTCAGAGAAAGGGAGGCCACAAAGATCAAAGCACTTAACTAATTACTGCAGCTGGGACCTGGAATGCCCAGGGACTAATGAACCATCTGCCCCATATACATTCAGGCATATGCTTAGAGAAAACTGCTGGAAAGAAACCCAAGGGCAAGGGGGCAGGCAGGAAATGGGTCACTGGGGTTACAGCAGGTAGCCTCAGCCATATACATACTTGTGTTGGGTACTTGTAAAAACAGGTTATGGGGTCCTGTCTCTAGACCTAACTGTAGTTAAACAAGTGTGCAAAAGCAATTTTAAAAGGCATAAGAATAGTTTCATGGGCACACATGGAAGGGGTCCAGAGTTGAGCAGGGGTTTTGTTTATAAAGCCCTATTCCTAAGTAGCCTGTATTTAAAGACTAGTTAAGTGGTACAAATCCTAGGGGTAGATTTTAGCAGTACTCTTCACGACGGAAAACACACAGGCCCTTTGCCTTAGACCTAACTAACTCTGCTATACTAGAGCACGCCCCCAAAGCCTTCTGGATAGAATAGTCACTACTGCATGGCTAGCCAGCCCTGGAAAAGCCACGAAAGTCCATCAAGAAAATGCTAGTGTAAGTATACACAATGGAACTTTGTGTGAGTTTTTAAAATGAGTGGTGGAACTTTATGTTTCGAAACGGAGCAGTCTCCAGACAGTGCTGATTATGTATAAAAAGGGAGAGAGAAAGCGCCCAGGGACAGGGCACTTGCCTCTTATGATCTGGGCACTAAGTTCGCGCTCTCCCGCCTCTCCCCGAAGTACTACAACAGGAGAAGAAAAGCCGGGATCTTTTCAAATCCGCGGTTTGCCGGCATTTCTGTGTACTTTTCCCGAAACCATCTATACATAGGACGCTGGGAACAATGTCTGGGACAGAGAATGCGGAGACCAAACGTCAGGTGAATGGTGACTTTTTTTGAAACTTTTGCGTACACACTTTTTGCAGGGTTTGTTTCCTTGACTGTTTTTCTAGGAAAGCATCTCGCTGCACGGCAGTGAAGGCGGGAACGGCGTTCGTGTCTGGGGCTGTGAGTTCGAGCCCCCAAGCCTCCCGGGAGGGTGGCCAGGCCTAGGCTGTCAGGCCAGTCCCTTCCCGCGAGCTCGGACCCCGAGCCCGGCTCCCGCCCCGGCCCGCGCTCACCGCCAATGATGGTCCGGATGAGGGAGGCGTGCCCGGGGCAGTCGACCAGCGTGACTTGCAGCTGCAAGTCGTCGGTCCCGGGTTCAGCCCCCGGCAACGGCACAACGAAACAGGAGAAGCCCAGGTCGAGCGTTATGCCGCGCTCGCGGCTCTGCGGCTGCTTGTCGAAGGCGGCGGTAGAGGCCGTAGTGCTCAGGGCGCGCGCCAGCGCTGTCTTGCCGCTGTCTATGTGACCCAGCACGCCCACATTCACATTCACCCGCCTGCCCGCCATGCCGCCGCCGCCTCGCACGCCGCCGCTTGAGCGCCGGCTAGGCGGTCCGCCCGCTAAGCCGCACCCCCCCGCAACCCGCGCCGAGCGCGCCGGTTCCGGCACGGAAGCTTCCGCCCTCGGGCGACCACAGCGCTACGGCGGGGCTGAGAGAACGTCGGGTATAAGCAAGGTGGGACTAGAGCCTAACTGCCTATGGTTGCTGTCACCGGGTTCCCCCAACGAAGTGTTGCCAGCCTGAGGGTGGAGATTCCTTCTTCCATGTATTCACCCTTCTATTCATTCACTCACCCACCCGTCCGACGTCCATCCATCCATCCTTTCTTCCTTCCATCATTCCACCCACCCATCCATCCATGCACCCTTATATCCTCCCATCCATCCCTCCAAATACGTTCCTTCGTTCATCATTCATTTCTGCCAGCCTTTATTAAGTGCAGACTGTGTACATAGCACTGGGACGTGGTGACCGACATATTTGCTGTGGAAGCAGGAGTGTGCCTAAGCTGGACTATCTGGAAAGAATAGAGATGGGGAGGTGAGCACCCTGGTAAGACTCAGGTGAGACCCCGTCAAGCACTGCCACTGGAATTCCAGTGCAGCCTGAGAAGTTCCCTTTGGAAACCTAGAAGCACGGTTAAAACATGGGAGAGGACCTCATTGACTCAGAGGAAAACAACAACAACAACAACAACAACAACAAAAACCTCACCTTGGAGTCTTGGCTACCATGGCAGGCTGCAATTTAAAATTTTGTTTGAAATGTGTGGTGAATGTTCTGTCAGCACAACTCCTTTCAGGTTTTGAAAGGTGCCTAGAACCATGAAAGAGGCCACAAACCTAAGTGGTTGCTCTGGCACAGACTAAAACCCAAAGAAAAGACGGTACCTGGGGCTTCACAAGGGAGAGATGAGGACTCCAGATCTTAACAACGCTGCTACTCGCTACTCCAACGTGAAGAGGAAGGGGCTCTTGGTTTCACACTGACACCAAGAGGATGCTGGCCCCGCTTTCTCTTCCTTCCATTTTTCTAGGGTATGAGAGGTTGGCATTTGAAAGTGAATTGTCCTCTGTTTTTGTTAAAGTTTCCATTGCTGTGAAGAGACACTGTGACCACAACAACTCTTATAAAGGAAAAGCATTTAATTGGGGGTGGCTTCTATTTTCAGAGGTGTAGTCCATTATCATCATAATGCTGTAGCTCAGAGTCCTTCATCTTGATACGCAGGCAATAGGAAGTGGTCTGAACCACTGGGTATGGCTTGAGCTTATATGAAATCTCAAGCCTGACTTCACAGTGACACACTTCCTCCCACAAAGCCACACCTACTCCAACAAGGCCACACTCCCAAAAGCACCTTACCCTTTGGGGGCCATTTCCTTTCAAACCACCACAACCTCACAGACTTGTTTGTTGAATGCTCAGGCCCCAGATGGTGGGCTTTTTTGTAAGATGAAGCTTAGCCGAAGGAAGTAGGTTACCGGGAGAGCGCCTTTGATGGCTGTATTTTTGAAGGCTATATCTAGTAGTCCCTGGTCCTTTCCCCATTCTCGGCTTCCAGTCCACCATGAAGTAAGTAGTTCAGTCAGACTGGTACTTGTTCCTGTCACATAATGAGAAACTACTGTTCCACCACAGGTTCAGGGTTTCAAGCCCAAGTGACAGTTTACTGAAATCTCTGAAGCCACGAACTAAAACTAAAATTTCTTTAAGTTCCTTGTATAAGCATTTCATCACAATGGTGAAATATTATCTAATACAAAGCCTGACTTTGGAATGCTGAGAAATATTTCAGCTTTTGTTGCTAAAATCTTTTTGTGGGTGTAATGATCTGTTCTTTCTCTTTAAGAGACAAGCCATGCCCACTCCCCCCAACCCCATCTGCTGAGACAGGCTGATCTTCAGCTTCCAGCCTGAGTTCCCTCTCTTTTCCGCCTCCCTCTCCAAGAGGCAGCTTCTGCCTCTCCCCACTTCTCCCCTTCCCCCTTCTGTCCCTTCCTTCTCTCTCCCTCTCTCTCTGTCTTCTCTCTGTCCCCCCCTTCTCTTCTCTTCTCCCCTTCTCCCTCCCCCCTCCATAACCCACTGAATAAGATATCCAACCTCACTCCACATGGCGTGCCTATTCATGTCTCTGTCTGTTGCCTGCCGCCACGTGTCTCCCTGTCCTGGACCAGCCACTTCTCGGGGACCTACAGCCATCGGGAATCCTGCAGCATTTTTAATAATCCATTACAGTGGGCAGATGTGGATGTCATCTACCCCCTCTTCCTAAGGTTCCAAGGACAAATCAAAGGGCAGTTCTACCCTGGCTCATCCTAGGGATGAGTTTATTTGGCTTACTAGTGAACATGGGTGAGAGGTCACTGTTAGAAGTGTCGGTGACCACAGAGCAGCTGCACTGGAAGGTCTTCCCAGATCATGGACTATGGCTTCCCCTCAGCCTCACAGAGAAAGCCTCTTTCCCCTCGTCTACACCAGCCTGTATATCTAGTCCCTCCCGGAGGTCCTGAGGCCACGGGCAATTAGGGCTGAACTAAATGTATATGGCTTGGAGGAGTGGCCAGATACTCCTCCCCCAGTGAAGGCCCAGTGGCCCTCCATGAGGCCCTCCTAGGAGGGAATATGTCATCAGGCCACAGGCCTGATCATGACAGACTCTTGGGAAGCAGGTACAGCTGGTCTCATAAAGATTTTGGCAGTTTTACTCAGATGGTGGCCAAGCGTAAAGTTTACCGACTCCTACCTGGCAGCCAGTTTGGGCCAGGCTATATATGCAGTTGCAGAAAGAGGCTCCAGCGACTCCTAGGCTCAAGACTCTATCCTAGAGTCCCTGCTGTGAACCAAATTGTGTTTGCCACAGGTTTGTGTGCTGGATCTTTGACACTCCCCGTACCTGTGATGGCATTTGGAGATAGGACATTAGGACTAAGTGGGTCATGGGAGTGGGGTCCTCATATGAACTAGTGCCCTTAGGAAAATGACCCCTAAATTTTGTGTCTCCACTTTGCAAACAGGAAACAATAAGTCTGTTTGAAATATAAAACTGTTGTTTTAAAATCAAACTCTGTTTGTTTGAAACCCAGTGATAAAACAGTGGGCATCTTTAGGAGGGAGCTTAGCGGGCAGGTAACAAGAGTTTTAGAGGACATTCCAACTAGTAAAATGTCCTGAACAGGATCTGGCTTCAAGTAAGCTCACTATTCACCTCTGCCCTACATAAAATCCTGACGAACAGTAAGACTTAAGCGTCTCTACTCTATAAATCCAAACTACAGCAAAATCTGAAACTTTCTGAGCACTGACATGATATGGCAAGTGGAAAATTCCACACCTGACTTCATGTGACAGGCAAGAGTCAAAACATGAGAACCTTGAAGCTGGCACATAAAAGTACCCCTAGGCTCCGTACACACGGGCTATGTGGAACAATGGCTTTCATGTCCCACCTCCAAGTTACCATATTGTGTGTATGCAAGCATTCTAAAATGGGAAGAAAACCCCTGAAATCTTCAGTACTTCCCATCCCAGGCATTGCAGAGGAGCTGTATTAAACCTGTAATGAAAGGAGCTGAGCCTGTTAGCACATGCCCATAACCCCTGCACCCAAGAGGCAGAAGCCAATTTGAGCTATCTATCCACCTTGTCTCAATGAAGCAAGAGCTAGGGATGTCATCAGTGACAGAGTGCTCACCCAGTACACACAGAGAACCCTGGGCTCCGTCTCCAACCCTGAAAAATAACAATAACAAAATTAATATTTTAAAGCTTTAATGTAATATTGACATCAGACTCAGTAATGAGCGTCATGTGTTGAATTTTTAAAATATTCTTTTTATATTTGTTTGGCTAATTTGCCTGCATGTATATCTACATCATGTGTATTCTTGGAGCCCACAGAGGTCAGAAGAAGGCATCAGTTTCTTAGGAACAGAAGTTATGGGTGGTTATTGTGAGCTACCATGTGGGTGTTAGCACCAAATGCAGGTCCTTTGCAAGAGCTCTTACTCACTGAGCCATCTTGTCCCCTCATGGGTTGACTTTTAAAATAATGACTCAACTTTGGAACAACTCTGGGCCTCAAGGGAAGAGTTTCTTCTTGCAGCAGGACAGGCAGAAGGGAGAGGGACAGCCACTGGACTCGGTATTTATAAGAGGTGGGTCCATGTGGAGCGGGAAGCTGTCCCAGCTCACCTGAACTGGAACAGTGCTCAAAGGCATGGCTGTTACAGCCTGAGACAGGGTAGAGTTAAACGGGGTAGCAGGAAGTTTTAAGGATGGAATTGAGGGAAGATTTCAAAGTTACTGCCCCAGAGGCAAAACCATCATTGGTGGAAAAAGCTTAAACAGTGCTAAGGGTAGGGGTGGACTGGGAATGAACTAGGAGACGTGAAAGCATTTTCTGAGCTGATTACAATATTCTGAGCCTTGATAAAGCTTTACATTGAGAGACAGACAGAGAGAGAGAGAGAGAGAGAGAGAGAGAGAGAGAGAGAGAGAGAATCGACATGCAACCAATATACACTTCAGATCTGTGCACTTTATAGAAATTCTGTATCCCCCAAAAACCTAAAATCCACTGTTGAGCTCCAAGAGTGGCATGTGTGCCTAAGTACTGAAGGGGAAGGATGCTGCTTCTGTCACCTGCTTTCCAATGCAGCAGAGATGCCTCGGTCGCACTGGGTGATCCAGGGACCTTGGAAGCTAAGGAAGAGGATGTCTTTGAATCCAGGAGTTCAAAGTCAACATGGACAAGATTGTTAAACTCCATCCGAAAACAAAGCACAACACAAGTAACAACACAGTCTGGGGCTGAGCTCATGGTAAAGTGTTTCCCTAGATAGAGGGGCTGGGCAGATGTATATGTGATAAAATAAGTGAGTAAAATGGGATTGGTAAAGTTCAGGTGATGAGTGAATGAGGTAATCATGTCAACTGTGTGGGATCTAGAATCACCTAAGAGACACACCTCTGCTTGTGCCTGTGAGGGGGTTTTGAGACCGTTTAACTATGGGCTGTATTGTTCCATGGCCTGACTAAAGGACA